ATTCCGGATACTATCGACAGGCTAGTTATTCACCACTAAGCAGTAGCCGTTGCAGCACTTTGTAGACCAGAAAATATTCGCCACATTTCTAAAATCCCCAATGTCACTAAAATCTTTGGTGGAAATTACCTCAACACAATATTTATAATTGCCATACTAACTATCGAAACATCACGACAAAGTTAATCATGATCGATCTTCATAATATTCATTTTAAAATAAAATAACAATGTTTATCAAACTTACATTTAAAACATTTTTTTTCATTTTTACAGAACTATCAGGTATTATTATAATTTCAATTATAAAATTTCAACAATTATTTATTTACATTGATTCTGATATTCTTTTAAATTAATTAGTTAACTTAAATTAAAACTTATTTTTGTGTATCAGATCCAGATGTTTTTGGTTTTTGTAATTCTTTCCCTTCATTTATAGTGTCGAGTCCAATAATTTCTCTAACTTTCTGTTCAAAATTCGAAATTTCTGTTTCAAGAATTTCTAACTCTTCACCAGCCTCACCAAAGAATGGTAATGCTTCTAGAAGATCCATATTTTTCAAATCATTTTTTTTAGCTTCCCAAAATTCTTTGAACTATAAATTGAAAAAAATTATAACTTATTTCGTGAACACAACAACAATGTGGATAAATCATATCAATATATTTTCGAAGTTTGTTAAATGGCAATTTATTAATTGAATTTACTGATGTATCATACCCTGTTCCATTGATCTTTAGATTTAACTCCAAATATCATCCTTCCAACCAAAAGTATTATATCGCCGTCTTCATACTGATCATAGCTGAAAATATCATAAATTCATTAGAAACGAAAAATGATCAAGTACTAGCAAGATAAAAAGATTATTACTATTTTTTAATGTTATCAAAATGTTCAATGATATAGTTCATCGCATAATTAACATCATCTCTACAACTCTGGAAGAAAGCTTCAAACATTCCATTTATTTGATCAGGTGTAACTTTTGATCCTTCTTGCATGGTTTGAGCAATATATTTATCACGCTTTTCTTTCGAGGGCAAGCATTTAATGAAATTGTACTTGGAATTTTTTATACTCTTTCTCATCGGTATATCAGTAGTCATGAATTTATTCCATACAGTTTCATTTGACTCTCGAAGTCCAGCACATACAATCCATTCCCAATCGGTAAGTGGGAATCTAGAAAAAAAAGAGTTTAAATGTTCTAAAAACAACTTTTTATTGCAATAGGTTATTATAATTAGAAATTATCAAAGCTTACGCATTTTCAGATGGATTTTCCAAATAAGTATCAAATAGGCGATGAGCAAATGCGATACAATCAGCATGTTCGTGTGCACATACTAAAGGAGCGAGCGTACTTCTTATTTTGACCGCAGAATGTTCATCTCCTTCACGATGCTCAAATCCAAGATGGTCAGTTATTTCGTTTGTAACAATGAGTAAATAAAGTCCAAATATATCTTCTGCATATGTATTTGTCATTAACTGGGCAAAATTATTCATAATTTTTCCTGCTGGTATCCACACTACATAGTCTCTTTCTTGATGTAAATATAGTGTTAATGAAATTAATCGATCTATTCTTAACTCATCTGCGAATTTTTCGTACATATCTTCAATAAGTTGTGCACGATTTACGGGATGTATTTTTATAAAATCGTTGGAGTGAAGATATTCAATAAGTTTATCCCAATTTTCGTCATCATACTTGACTTTATAGAATCCTAAATTGAAAGTAAATAATGTCAAAAATGTTACAAAAATGGCATACGCATTAAGAATGCGAAATAATTAAGAGTAAGAATAAATTAAGTAATAAAAAATTTCGAATACATTCTAGCTATTGAATAATCAATATGGATATATGATTGGGCCAATGTCAACAAAATATTTTTGTAAATGAATATATGAGAATTTAAACAATGGTATATCGTAATTTGTTAGGCGAAAAACCACTCATCATTATGTCTTAGTAAGGACTAGAAAAGTATGATAAAAAAATTTATTTTGAAATTGGAAACCGTATTAAATAAGTAATATATAACAAATATCACCTCTTTGTTGAATATTTACGATGATCCAATCATCTTTAGGAATATTAGCAATTCTTAACTCTTCTTGATCTTTCTCCATCCACATGGTTGGTGCTGTTGACGTGAAATCGGGGTTCGACTTTGTGGCGTAATTTATTGGAATTCTCCACGTATTTCCTGCTGAAGAAGGTTTATTCGGTTCTTGTTTTATAACAATATCATCAGTTTCATTATCTCTTGTTACTTTTAATATTGGATAACCAGTTTGTTTGATCCATGGTTCCATAGTGCTTTTTATATTTAGTTTTTTATCTTTGTATTTTTTATCATGAGCTTCTTGTAGTGCATCCCAAAGGTTATTGGTAACCACGGCTTTAAATTGACTGAAATAAAGCATGCCCAAGTATTTTTCGGAAATATTAAGCTGTGATTATATGTACTCGAAACTTACTGTTTTTTTAAATAGTTTTGGATTCCTTCACGGAAAACTTCTTCTCCAATGATATGTTCGATCATATGCACAACAGCAGCACCTTTGTTGTAAGTAACTGGGCCAAACGCTTGTTCAATTTCTATCTTTGTAGTGGGATTGAATTTTATAGGTTTAGCCGCATTATAAGAATAAATGTCAGCAGAAAATGCTTGTTCATTATTGTGTTCTATCACAAAATAATCCATTATTCTCCAATGAGGAAAAATCTAGAAAATAAGACATGATTAAGTTCTCCGGCTCTAGTTAGGTGTTTTCCAAAAGTTATTGATTATGTGCATATGACAATTATATACATATTGTATTTTAAAAAAAAAATTGAGTACGTGAATGTTTTAGTTGAAAGTGCAACACTCTATCGTGGATGGAATAGGTTTTTATTCCGTATTTTACAGCAATTCTAGAAGATAAATTTATGGAAAATTATTCTGCTATAATATAATTACTAGAAATATACTGCGCGCTCTTCGAGCGCTCTGTTTCAAGTTAACAAAAACAAATCAAATGTTAAGGCCTTTTAATGCCTCAGAAAAAAAAACAAAAATGAGATGAATATTAGTTCTTCCTATTACGTTTTATAAAACAATAGTTGAAAATAGAAATGAAATTTGAATCACCTGATCTAATACTTTATATTGAAAATATGCCGCAAACGCTTCATTCAGCCACACATCATCCCACCATACTGGACTGACTAAGTTTCCAAACCACTGATGAGCCAATTCATGAGCCACCAAAAATGCAATTTTGTCTTTTTTTTCATTATTTGGCATCAATGTAGTATTACGTAATAATACTGAATACGTTCTGTAAAAATCTATTGAGTTTATCTGTTGAACAATCGTCCCTCACAAAGGGAAAACTCCAAAAATAATAAGTTACTTACATATAACTCACAAGTCCCCAGTGTTCCATAGCAACTGCACCATACTCAGGAACTGTGATCTGATCAAGTTTTGGCATTGCATACGGCATATTAGTATAAGCTTCTAAGGCAGGAATAGTTTTTTCACTTATTTCCAAAGCGTATTTTACTAATTCCAAATCTTTTTCCATTGTATAAAATGTAATATTTCCATTTTCATTCTTAATTGCTTTGTAATCAGCGATCAAAATGCATGGAAGATATGGCGACATTTTTACAGATCTTTCAAAGTGAGTTAAAACTTTACCATCCGGCATTTTTTCTTGACTTTTTACTGGCATGTTTGCCAGTGCTGTATAATTTGGAAAATGCTTAACTGACATTTCGAATTCTGCTTTTAAGCCTGGTTCGTCCCAACATGGAAAAGTATTTCGAGCTCCTGATGGTTCAAAGTGAGTAGTAACTATGTAACTGGAAAAAACTCCATATCAATTTTAATCCTGTGAAAATCATAATACAAATATTTTATATATACTTATTTACCTAGTTTCTCCATTTTCTCCTTTATTTTCGGCTCGATAAAATCCTGTGTAAGGATCAAACCAATCTTCAGACGAGTCAACTCCCGACCATTTCATATTTAATGTGTAGTTTCCAATTGGTAATTTGTTTTCGAATTTCATGGTATAAAATTCATTTTGAGCTTCCCAGGTTTGTTTTAATGGCTTTTCAATTTTACCATCTGAATGTATGAGCTCTGTAGCATCGCCTTGAATATCTAGTTTATTAGATTTGTGTAAAGTAACACTGGTAGTTGGATGAAGTACTTCAAAAATAATAGAACACTTTCCGGTAAATGTAAACTTGTCACCCAAAAAATCCGGATCTAATTCTATCATGTACACTCTCGGTACTGTATTGCGAGATAAACGATATTTTGATTCTATTGTTGGCACAGACTTTTTTAGGAACTTCGCTAATTTCTTATGGTTTATATTATTATCATTTCCAGGTCCAGTTACTGGTTTTGCTGATGTTGTATACAGTAACAAAGCCGAAAGTATTAACGTTTTTATCCACATTTTAAGAATCTATTTTTGAATATTATGCAATAAAATATGTAAATACATGTATGACCACCAGTTTGTATAAGTAGCTAACATATGATAGGATTTATAAATGAATCTTAGTTTTATACTCTCTGAAGAACCTTGATTCAAATTCTATTGTCTATTTATGGATATGTGAAAAACAGGATATTGGTGGGAATTTATTAATACGAGTTGTTATAGATATCGTATGATTCAGTTCACGTACCTTAACAATGATATTGTATGCATTGATGAATTAATAAAAAAATTTACGTGTATAGATTACTCTAATCATAGATTTCATGAAGCTCGTAAAGCTCAGTATGTATGAAATTTTTAGACTATATCTTATCTTATTTAAAATATCATTTGCTACATTTCTAATGATTCGCTTGTTTTTTGCTTTATAATCAACAAATTTAGAAGCAGGAGTATAATAAGCATAAAAGATTGGTTTTTTTTGCGAAGAGCATTTATTTATTATTCATAATCAATAGATTAAGTGAAAAAAAACGATGAATATACAACATTTGTTTTCACTGTATAAATTGAATTAACAATAAAATATTATCAGCATTGTAAAGAATCAAACAATCCTGGTTTTTTGGATAGTAATGAATGAAACGTAGATGATACTTTTTCACTTGTCTCCATCGAATCTCTTGCTCTTTCCAATGTTTCATCTACATTCTGCATTTTTCCTTTTTTTTCTTCATTGGTAAGAAAATCAACAAACTAAAAACAAAATTTGTATGTATCATTTAAAAATATGTAATTATTTCATTAACCGATAATTTAAAAAGGAATACTTGATTATATTGTTCAGAAGATTTAATTGCATAGCTGAATTCTTGAATGACAATATTTATTCTTCCGGTCATGTTTCTAATGTTGTAGCTAAGGAAAAAAATTCATTAATATTACATTACATTCTATGTCTCGAGTCTAAAATATTGATTATGTTTAAACTCCAATATTTTTACCGTGAATATTAAGATTTAATTTAAACTTCTCAAGAATAAAAAATCCTAAGAAAATTAGCATGAATTAAACCTCAGTTAGATAATTTTCTTCGATTTTACATGTTTTAGATTCAAATCCTCATATTTTAGGCGTTGTTTAAACTTTGAATCATCAATAATAAATAAGGACATTAAAGTTCAAAAACTATAAAACACTGGCAAACAAGAAGCGAAATATTTTAATTGGAATAAAATTTTTTACATAAAGAACTTGCAATTAGAAAATAAATGTTTTGGTAATTTACATAAAATATTGTTCATAAAAACATTCATTTTGACATTCTATTCACTCGTTTATGAAATTATACTGCTATCATTATTAGAAATTTATGATTATAAGTAGTATTGTCATTAACAATTTGAAATTTTTATCGATATTCAGTTAAACTAAATATTCTCAATCAATGCTAGCATAAAAATTTTTTTGAAGGTAATGAGGTTTAAATATACCACAATTATACTTTATTTGATCTTTAAAATTCGCATTTGAGGGAATTGAAGTTCAAATAAGGAAGTTTTAAATGAAATAGTTGCCAGTGATTTGAAAATATTAAAGTTTAAATCTAGTCGATATTTCCGACTCGAGATATTTCATTTATAATTACTATTCTCTGATCCGATCAATATGGTTGACAAAATAATCCAAAACAAAAATGACATTTTCTCGCTTTCCTGCCATTATAGAAATAAATGCATCTGAAATTAAATCCGTTAGTTGGGTGGCATTTTCTGCCATGGCCAGATTTAAATACTTCCTAATTAAATACTGGTTATCAGTACATCCCAAATATTCAAAACCTGATTGAAACAACGGATTAGCGAGATGCGCATTCATTACTTCTTCCCAGACACTTTCATTGGATGCTTGTAAGCCATTACAATAAACCCAGATCTCTTCATTTTGATTTATTCTAAATAGAATGGTTTGTTATCTACAGATAATTTATACTGAAAAAATGATTCATATTACTTAAACTCAACATACGGATATTTTTCAGGATCCTTGAAATGTTTGATAAATTTTGTCTGAGCAGCTTCTTTGCATTTTTGATGATCAAAAGTACAAGCCCAAGGTAAAAGATAATATCTTGCAAGAGCATCTAGATGATTTTCATATTTTTGATCCTCAAAACCAACATGGTCTACTATATTGTTCATCAAATGTAACATTAATTTTGAGAATAAATCATAAACTGGTGTATTAATTAATAATTGATTTAAAGATTCAATTGCAGATAATATAGGCATCCAAGGAAGAAAATTAGTTTCTTTATATAAATACAATGCGATATCAAAAAATGGTTCAACATACATTTTATCATTTTTCATAAAATCAAAAATATCAAAGATGATTTGGGCACGATTGATCACATGTATTTTTTCATAATTATCAGTATTAAGATAATCAGCTAATCTTTTCCAATTCTCATAATCATAATTAACTCGATAAAAACCTAAAAAAATTTAATAAATTAAATAAATTAGTCCAAGGTAAATTACATTTCTCTTACCAGTTTGTTGAACATTAAGAATCACCCAGTCGTCCTTATCGATACCATAAAATGTATAATTATCACGAGATCTCGGAATCCAATGGGTTGGTTTTGTATAATTAAAATCAGGATGTGTACTTGTCGTGAGTGTTACAGGGATCATCCATAAATTATCTGATTCTTGATCTAATGCATTTGATTGTGTGACATTCGCTATTCCAGTTTTATAGTCTCTAACTACTTTTAATATAGGAAATCCTGTTTGTTCTAACCATGGGTCCATAATTTTTTTTATATTCAAGTGTGGATGTACTCCTTTTTCTTGATATGTATCTTGAAGAGCTCGCCATAGGTCATTAGTTGTAACAACTCCAAAACGGCTGAAAAATAATAACTTATGACACTGCAACTAAATTTAATGCAAAATACTCTGTTAACGCACTGTTTATTTAAATATTTCGTGATACCATCACGGAAAACTTCTTCAGTCACTATATGTTCAAGCATACGTAATACTGCTGCCCCTTTACGATAAGTTACTGGAGTAAACATTTGTCTAATTTCCGTTGGTGACGCAGGATACCATTTGATAGGACGTGGTACTCTACCTCTAGACTCAGCATTGTATGAAATTTGATGTACTACTTCTGTAATGAATAACTCAATACTGTTCCAATAAGGAAATACCTAAAAATTTTTTCATGTTTATTGCTAAAAAATATGTGAAAGTAATTTTCTGTATTATTAAGAGTATAGTATTAATACCAAATCTGTCATTTTGTATGTGAAATATACTGCAAAAGCTTCACTCAACCAAAGATCATCCCACCAAGCAGGTGTTACTAAATTTCCAAACCATTGGTGAGATAGTTCATGTGCAGTTAGGTAAACTATCCGATCTCTGGCGATGACACTCGTTTCGAACTCCTTATATAAAATCAGATTAGTCCTAATTTCAATAAATAGTTGATTAATACAGGTATTAAATATATTGAATAATTTATTAACTTATTCAGCTTATTAACTTGAAAATAAATTTTAAAAAAATAGTATTAACCAATAACTGATAGCTCCCCAATGTTCTGTAGCAGAAGACGAGTACTGAGGAATAGTTACTTGATCAAGCTTGGGAAGTGAGTAAGGTATTTTAGTATAATTTTCCATTTCATATAAAATCGCTTCGCTAACTTCATAAGCAAGACTTGTAAAACGTATATTTTCGACTGTTGTATAAAATGTAAGATTATCATGATGAACAAATCGTTTAGCATAGTTTGCAACAATAAAAGTTACTAAATAAGTTGACATTATTGGAGTCTTTTCAAAATGAGTTAAAATTTTTCCATCATCTGTTTCTACACGACTTCTCACAGGCATATTAGAAATAGCTGTATAGTTTGGATAATGTTTTAATGCGATCTCAAATTCTGCTTTTAATCCCGGTTCGTCCCAGCACGGAAAGGCATTGCGTGCAGCAGTAGGTTGAAAATGTGTTGCTATCATGTATCTGAAAATTGAAGAGTTTCAATCAATTATTCGAAAGTAATTGATTTGTTTTTTTAACTGTAAAAGATTTAATTCTATTAAACACGAATTGACCTGACGTTTTGCCTTTCAATAGTAATAAACTTTATTATTTGCAAAGACTTAACAACTTTTTTGTGTAAATCTTAAATATTTACGTTGATCGTCCACTCGAGTCTTCATCAACTGCTCGATAAAATCCACGCCAATAATGAGCATCATATCCTTTCCATTTAAGTTTAAGAGAATATCTTCCCACTTTAAGTTCATTATCAAATTTTATATTAAAAAATTCTAGAATAGAATTCCATTTTTGTGAAATTGGTTTCCAACTAGTTCCATCACTAGCTATAAGTCTAGTATAACTTTTATCTATTTCTAAATTGTTGGCATGAAGAGTAATATCTTTAAGGGGCTGTTCTACTTGAAAGATGAGAGTACCTTCACCATTGAATGTAAAATTTTCTGCATCAATATGAGGTTCTATTTGTAACACATATGAAATTGGAACTGTATCATTTGGTAATCGATAACTTAGAACCTTAGCTAGTAAACGAGTCACATAATGTTGATCGTTTCCATATGCCGAGGATCCACTATTAACATATAAGAATACTACGAACAAAATAACTTTTTCAATCATCTTAAGAAAAATTGATTGATCTTAATTCCGTCAATTTTAATAACAATAAAGGTGATTTTTTGAAAACAGAATAGTTGAATTCAACACATATCAAACTAACACTTCGATCAGAATACTGAGTTGTTGTGCTGATTGACCTTACTAAAACTTCATCAATATTAATTAGACCGTCCATGACCGTAGTTGTATAACAATTTATTAAAACAGACCTTCACTAAAATAAAAAAAATAGAGATGAATTTCATTAAATCTCTCAATGTATGATAATTCTGAATGCCTTAGTTATGTACTATTTTAGTTTCAATACTGAAGAGTAAAGGTAGCTTCCGCTAAAATCATAGTAATAATTAATAATGATCTGAATAATTAACTTTATTCACCTCTGTCTCACGTGGCAAATACACAATACAAATAAATTTATTAGTGTCAATGTGATGAAATAAGAAAAATTGTTGTTATAAGAAAATGACTTTGTTTACTATATTATATTTACAATTATTTATTAACTCAATGTTCATTAAAAATAATAAATATTTCTTCCATAGATTATGAGGTGTAATATTAATGAAGTACTGTAAATGCTATTGACATTACAAGTAGCATGGTGGATAAGGTATAAATTGATGCAGAATCTGGATCATTGCTTTCTACTTTAAAGTAGTTTTGAATGTCACTCATTTGTAACCCTAACCACTCAATATTTTTTTTAGCATTATAAACCCCTGCTGAAATAATGTTGGGTGGAAAATCAGAATTTTCAATCTACAATTGAAGAAAATAATCAATTAATGTGATTTTTGCAAATTATTATGATGGTTAATAAAACATAAATTTTGTTTATACCTACTTTTTTAAGTTGACTATCAGTAGTTATTCGTTCTCCTATTTCCGTTATATATTTTATCAGAGTTTCATTTTTGGCATCATTTCTAGAAGAAAAGGAATATTAACGATTGTATGTTCTTAGATAGCTATAAATGAGGTTAATAATATTTTCCTTTCTTACCCGTTGATGAGCTTTGAATCAGAAATAATGAAGTCTAAGGCTACATTGATACCATTTTCACTTCCAGAATATACTGATTTGAAAACCTGATCACGATTTGCAGATTTTAATGTTCCATTAAATGTCATTCGTAAATAATCTTTCAAGATTTCAACGTCTGATGTACATCCTAACGCAGTTATAAGATTCTCATCTTGTTCGTTTTTATATTTTTGAAGCAATTTATTCCAAGATACTCTGTTAGCACTACGTACTCCACCACATAGAACAACACTTTTCAAATCTGGTGAGAGGGGATTTGCATCAGAACTCTCTAACCATTTTCGTAATTTTTCAGACGTATGATTTGCACACGATTTCAAACCAAATGCACAAGTTTTTTCTATTACTGTAACTCTTTGTAATTTTTTTATATGATCATCTTCAACAGATTCTTCAAATTTAATATCGTTCACTAAAGCACCGGTTAAGCGTAATACGTAATCCTGAAGTAAATAATCATAAAAAGAAATGATTGTATGAAATATTGGTGTTGATTATTTCAAAAAACATACCTTGAATGGTTGACTTTGATCAGTGTTGGCTAAAATTTTACTGAGATGAGAAAAACCATTCCAAGCAGCATACCATGGAACATAATCAGCTTCTTGTTTAAGATATTGTAATACTCGAAAAGTTACATTATAAGGAAGCAGTCTCACTCGAGCAAGATTGAAAGCATCATCAACTAATTGAGCACGATTTAAAATATGAATTTTTGAATGATTAGTTTCTAAAGCATTCCCAATTAACTTCCAATTCAGTTCATCGTAATTAACTCGATAATATCCTACAATAAAGAATTATTTAATACATCAACGGTCCTTACCACTTTATGTCTTATGGAAATCATATTTACCAAATTGTTGTTTGTTGAATATAATCCATGTGTCATTCTTTATTCCAGTAATTGTTTTTACTGTTTCATCTGGTTTTAACCATTCAATTTTTGTTCGATTGAAATTGATCTTATCATCTGCTTCTCCAATAACATTATCATAAGGAATCCAATATTTTTCTTTTGACGTTTCAGTCTGATTGTACAAAAAACGTGATTGCTTCAGTGTTGCACTTCCGTTAGCGTAGTGTCTAGTAACAGTTAATACTGGATAACCAGGTTGAGTAACCCAACTAGTAAAAGCAGTTTTTACATCTTTATCAGCACTCACACTCGCAAATTCTTCAATGAGATCTTTAGATGTACTGACACCAAACATCCTATTAAATAAAAAAGTTCCTTCTTTATTTATAATGCCTTAATCATTCAGTGAAATTACTTACTTTTTCTTCAGATATGATTGTAGTGCGCTTTGGAATTTTTCTTCACCCAGGACATAGGAAAACATACGAATAACGGAGCCAGCTAAAAAATTATTTTTATGTTTTATTAATATATTAATATGCATACTATATTATATTTTTACAAACCTTTTCTGTAACTAATATTGTCGAAAATTTTGCTCACGTCTTGTTGGCTTTCCACGCTTACATCCATAGCATGGCTAGTGTTGGTTCCATCAGCTATAAAAGCTGATCCTTGCAAAACTTCTACCACGAATCTATCCATCAAACGCCATGTTTCGGTGACCTGTAAATTAATTTTTCATAATGATAAATTATAATATAAACTCGAAAAAATCGGAAAAAAATGATTAGATCTATATTGTTCGATTATGAATCTTATTCGAACATATTTTTACTCAATTTTTTAGTAACTTTAATAAAAAATATCTGGTAGATTTCGCTTAACATTTCCTGGTCTCTCCAAACATTATAAAATTTTCGGAGATTCCAAATCAATATTTTATTTGTCATTTCAGATCAAATTTAATCTCTAAAGATTCATGCAGACTTTTTTTTTTAATTTTTTCAAAATGTTAATTAAAAATCATAAAATTTATAGAGATTATAATCGATACCATAGATTTCAAATTTAAACTGAATAAATCAATGTGGATCTAGTTAACATAAATCTAATCGTTTTCGTTTAGACTTGCAGCGAATTTAGTATTTATACTTGGTCTGTTATAAAATATTGGAAATAAGTCGCAAATCCTTCATTAAGCCATACATAGGTCCACCATTCAGGAGTGACTAAATTACCAAACCATTGATGAGCAAATTCATGAGATATCACTTTAGCAACTGCTTCCTTGTTAAAAGTTGATGTGACGTTTTCTTCAACAAGCAAACCACTTTCTCTGTTATTGGAAAATGTTCATAAGTTGATAAAAAAATTTTTTTTTCAATATTATAAATTTTTTCAGTTAAATCTACCTATAAGTAACGATTCCCCAATTTTCCATAGCACCAGCAGATAGCTGAGGTAAAGCAACCGAGTCCATCTTTCCGAGTTTATGTTCTTCAAAAGAGATATTTGTGAAATTTTCTAAAGCTTTCAACTCTTCATAACCAACTTCTGAAGCATATTTTCCGTGTTGAATCATGTTTTTTCGAGCCCATATTCTGAATAATGAATTATTTTGACTTTCTATATAATCAAAGTTAGCTACAACAAAGGCTACTAAATAAGTAGACATTTTAGGAGTTTGTGGAAACGAAGTCGTTTTTTTATCGATTCCAATGGTCTCTGAATCTGGCATATTTGAAATTACATTATATCTTCGATTGTGTCGAATAGAAATTTTGAATGTAGCTTTCAAAGCTGGCTCATCCCAGCATGGAAAAGCTTGACGAGCACCAACTGGTTCAAAATGAGTAGATGCCATCCACCTGAAATAAAAATTGTTGTTACTTATAAAAAGTTTTACTTTAATTTATCCATTAATGTTCTTAAAAAATTTGTCCTTGATTAAGATTAAAATGAACAATCCATCTGGTGTAAAGCTATTGAACTATGTTATCATTTATCACAAACTTTTGTTTTATGATAATCTAGAAATTTGTATTCCTTGGAAAGATATAAGGCATGTTATCTTTAATACAGATTTGTTCAAAGATTTATTGAAGTCTTTCGAAAAATACAATATTTAATTCTAATATTTAATCGCAAAATTTTTTATTTCATATACATCAATTTCCATGAAAACAAATGTTAATACTAAATACTTTTTACATTTTATTTAAATTGATAATGTACTTACTCTATTTCTCCAAGAATATTTTTGTATGAACTTCGATAAAATCCTGTTAGTTGATCATTGAGGATTCCTTTATACTTTATAGTTAATGTCCAGTTACCAATTGGTACTGGTTGGAGAAACGAGATCATAAGGAAATCTTTTTCTTTATCTATGTCGATTGTTTCAACCTTTAATTCCGTTGATGTGTTCGACAATTTAACATCTTCTTTAGTTATTGTCAATTCTTTTGCATGTAGATATATTTTCTTATTCGCTTCTTTAACCGTTATATCAATAATAGCTCTACCATCGAAGGTAAATTTTTCTTCTTCAAGCCAGGGTTCTAATACTAAGTCATAATGATTAGGTACAACAGAAGAGGGTAATCGGTATTCTCCAGGTACTGCCCGAGACGAGTATAAATTATTTACAAATTCAGAATCTTTCGGTGAAAGGGGTATTCCTTGAATAAATGTCACCAAAAAAAGTGTAGAGAGCAGTGCTTTTAAAAGCAACATTTTTAGCCTGGTTTGGGAAAAATTTAATTCAATTTATATATATAATAAAAGAAATTCAAATAATTCATTAAACAGGGTTGCATTGATAATATCACTTACGGCTGAATACACTAATTATTTTTAATTATTTTATTGTTCTCAACACACCACTCAGACTTACAATTAAAGTGTATATAACTTTCATTGGCCTTATAACGACTTTAAAAGAGAGTTATCGGGGTAAAACTTTCTGAGCAATTTAATCTTATCAGATTCGATTTCTATCATTGTAAGTAAATATACATTTAAAAATTTCATGTATATGTTGATCTAGTTACCGTTGGACTTGATGATAATTCAACTACCAGTACGTCAGCAATGAAGTTATTCTTTTTAATTTGTGACTTTTAGGTATTATTAAATATTTGATAAAATATGGAAAAAATTACCTTCATGAACAAATACATGGAAAAAATTTTTTAAGAATTTTTTCTAGTCAATATAGAATAAAATTCACTAGTCTTTTTTTTATTAAAAATAGCTAAAAATTAAAGGAAAATTATTTTACTAACATTGAATATTTAATAGAAAGTAAATTTCTGAATTTATACATTTTTTTCTAGAAAATCTTACCAATCAACACTTTTTACTACTTGTTTGGCAATTTTTACTAACTAAAATAATACTTTTTCTTAAATTTTTAGTTATTTTTAACGAAAAAAAAACTAGTAAATTTTACTCTAAATTGACTAGTAAAAATACCTAAAAATATTTGATTAAGCTAGTTATTGAATCTCCATTTACAAAAAATTATGAATTAATTCAGAATTTTTTGTAATTTCTTCTTAATATAACTTTCGACCAAAGGTACTATCTTATTAGCTATTTTTGTATTGGCGGTTAAGACTTTTTTCACATTTTCTGGAAGTAAATAACTAACTTCTTCATCATCTGGCATATGTTTTGATGTTTTTCTTACAGATTCATCAGAATAGATTTCTTCAGCAATTTGAGCCGAATGTTTATGATACTCATGAGCTGTTTGTATTCTAAAAAGTATTTTTTTAAATGTAAATTTAAAAAATAAAAGTGAGAAAATAAATTTACGGTACCTTTCAACAAGTTTCACATGATGTTTGGTAATAAAATACAGAATTAATTGCGCATGTTCTTCACTCATTCTTGCTGCAGTTAGTAATATTGGAAACACATTTTCTCCAGGAAATATTTTTTCATCATTCAGCATAAAATCTAAATAGCTAAAAAAGATGCTATATATATAAAGAACTGAATGAAATGAAATGGATCGTATTCCAAAATTTTTTGATTTACTTTTCAAGAATGTGAATATTTTCTGTACATGCAAGACCTCGAGAAATTACGAGTCGGGTTGAATGAAATAAAGTTGATCCATTGAGCAACTGAAATGCTTTATACCAGAATTTAGGTGTGGCATGGCGTAAACCTTGACAGAAGATTATTTCACGAACATCTGGATTAGAAGCACACTTTTTCCATTTCATAGAACAACGTCTAAAATATTTCCAATTGTAAAAATATAGTTTCGATAGAGTTTTAAGTAAAATAAATGGTAACCCTTTGGGACAATCATGTGAAACAGCATTTAAGTAACAATCTAATCTCCATTCGGACTCCTTGAGACAGTCTTCATGGCCGTAGGTACAGGCGAGGTTCATAATATTTTTTCTGTGCAACCGAATATAGTAATTTTCATGAGATTGAGTTGGTTCCATTTTTAGTGTATTATAGACATTGGAAATTAAACCTACTAATAATCGCTAAAATAATATTTTTTATATAGTTAGCTTTTTTATTTCATACATCATTTTTTTGAAATAAAATAAGAAAATAATAACCCTGTGGAATGCTTTATGATTTTCATATTTGCTGAGAGACAACATATTTTTTAACTTTCCAAAAACTTTCCCAACAGCTAACCAAGGAAAATAATCGAATTCCATCTTCAAGTATTCAAACAAATGATATAAATATTCAATATGTATGTATCCAGCTACAGATAATTCATATAAATCATCAATAATCCACATTCTTTGCATTTCACTTATCGCTAAATGATTGTGTCTGAGAAGCTGAATAATATCAATCCACCATGCTTCTGGATAATTTACTCTATATGGAACTAGAAAATTTAAAAAATATTACATACATTTCTTTCAAGTTGAAATAAATAAATTAATTATGTGAAAAAGAGCAAAATAACTTTTTTTAAATAAGGACCGTTTGCAATTTTTTTAAAACCACTTTTTTGTTTTTTTTTTCTTCAAACATTCTAAAAAGAAATAGTGAAAAATTTTTTAAAACCGTTTTTATCTCTATCCATGGAAAATTATTAAATTTGATGATATTTGATTGAATCAAATTATATCTGTATAATGAAGCTTTATAGATATTATGAAGTCGAGAAAGATTTAAAAACAAATTTTCATTATATTTAAAAAAATCTAATAAACTTTTGCTTTTAGATCTATCATGTTTATAAATCATTTTAAAAAATATTGATCGTTACCCACAGAATGTCCACTCAATAAACAAAATTTTATTTCAGTCGCATTGACAAATAAACTTTTCGATTTGAGCCACAGATGATAAAATTTATTAGTCTGATGATTAATGCATCGAATCGGAATAGTCCAAGTATAATTTACTGTACTTCCTGGACCAAATGTATTAAAACGTTCCTGAACAATAAATTTTTAAAAAATTTAAAAGAGAAATTGAATAAAGTTTTTGTTAGTCATTAAGTAAGTATAGGATTTCAAATTTTTTTGCTCAGACCTACTTGTACTATCTCAGCATATTCACCGAGTTCATCTAAAGTAATGGTGATAAGTGGAGTTCCACGATTTTTTAGCCAATCATTAGTAAAACTTTCTACACTTTTATTATCAAGAAGAGATAACATTTCTTTTAGAGTTGGACCGAATGATTCATTTCCCCTATAATTAATTAATTATTGTAGATATCAAAAAAATAAATACGTTAAATGATGAACTCATGCACTGAAATATACCAGCGTGACAAAAATAATCTTATCAATCCCATAATATCCTTGAAATCAAATAACTGATGAATTGTCGCGACAATAGTCAAAGCTTGATAGCTTATATATTCTTCTTTGCGGAAATATTTTCTGTCTTCCCATGTATCAAATAAGTAAAATGGTATGGTTGATGCTGCCATCGTGTCTCGATCACATCTGGTCCATAAAATTGTTCGAGCTAATGAAAAATCGTGAATTCGAAAAGTTGGTTCGATAACATGAAATATGAAAGTTGCTATATAATCAGCAATAGCCGTGTAAATCCAATAATCATCCCAAAATCTTGGAAAGTGTAAAATACCAATCCAATATCGAACAGTACTGCGACTTATGTCAGTTAACATTTCCATCCTATCTGTGGTAGTGGATTCATCTTTATCAAAGATTACTCGGCTTTCCCTTGAAGAACAACTTCGAGTCATGATAATTCTTTTATCTGTTAATTTTTGTTTATCTTTGCTATGTAGTGGTGCATTTATCATAATAATCTGGGATTTTTTTAACCAGATTATCATAAGCAACTTACCTCAGTAAACTTACTCCACGAGTTGTATAAAAATCTATTACTCTAGAACCTGGAAATGAAACAACATTGAATCGACTCTTTGATGAGAAAGTATTGTTCATCATTAATCCAAAACTATGAATGTAATACACGATCAACATCTTGACGTCTTCATCTTCTATTTCTGATGGATACCAAAAATTTATCGTATCAGTTTCATATTTTTTATAACTCCATATAGCAAAAAACACATGATGAGCTTGAATTTTTTCTGTTGATTGATAAACAGAAATAGAAGTATTAGGAGCCATTTTTTTGCGATACTTTAAAGGAGTTCCAGAAAGTACTGAAAATTCTGTAGGATGAATAATTGATAGCTCAAATGTTGATAGCCATTTTAAATCTGAGAGACAAGGAAATAAACGATAAGCTCGGTTGGGTATAAGAAGAGCAATTGCCACAATTCTATAAATAATTTTTAATTATTTATCACAATTATATGGAAATAAATCAAAAATAAAAATATTTTGAAACCTGTTTGATATGTTATCGATAGGATGGTAATATCCGCGAAGGTCTTCGAATTCTCGTGAAAAAAATAGTTCTATGACGTATTGTGTCACTGGAACTATTATGGTCATAGGTTCTAAATAAATTTCGATGATAGAAGATACGTCTCCATAGGTGATAGAAATGTCAATGATAGAAATTTGTTGCAAAGAATTATTATTTTTATCTATTCTATACAATCTAGTATTTTTCAATAATAAAATAAGTAATTCATTTTTTAAAAAGACGATTAATCCATAAAATTCTTACCGAGTCTTTTTTTCATCAATTTTCATTTTCGAGTCAGCTTGAATCGAAAAAAAATCTGTTCGTCCTGTGACTTTAAGAGTAATATTTACTTCTCCAGTATAAATACAATTTTTCACTGAACAATCATCATTATTTCCACCAAAGTCTAATAATATTTCATAATTTTGAGGAATTGTTTTTGATTGTCCTATCATTGAAAGACTTTCAATATAAACTATCATGAAAAATAAAAAATTAATTAAAAAAAAACTTAATTGAATACTATTCATGATTGAAATTATAAAGTTTTCTACGATTAAGTGGTTTGTACAAATAGAACAGTTCAGAAACTTAATTTATGATGACTTTCATGGTATTAGTTTGATCGATATGTTTGAAAATTCTTCACTATATCATTAGTATTATTTTCCATAACAGCTCCATACATCATCGTAATTTTTTTTATTTTTTATATGCTCTTATGCCATGTTTCATCGATCATATAAATAAAATATGTAGCTATACATTAAACAGATACTTAAGTCTTGTTGCGTTCTTGATAATTTATCAGTAGATTAATATTACAGAAAAAATAACAGAAAATAATCGCAAACTGGAATTCGTTACTTTCTTTATTGATCAGTTATTTTTATCTGCATTGGAATCAAAGCCAAGATTAGATTTGAAAAAGTGAAAAGGTAACCATGCGATAATGTGGTGCAATCTATTGTTCTTTAGCTGTACATGGTGATTCTAGAGTGTTTTCTATTGTAGATACTCACGTTGGAGCTTCACTAGCTGTTGTTAATTTAGTGAACTTGCAATTATTGGAGCATATTTTTTGATCCAATCAACATTGTTGGTGGCATAAATAATAGTATCATTGATTATTTCAGTATTGTTAAAAACATCAATATTTTCTTCAAAAAAATTATATAATTTTGTTAAATTTTCTTTAGAAGTAATTCTTGTTTTGATTGCATTCAATATTTTATAGAAGAATAATTGACCTTTTGTTTCCAATATATTTTTAATATTCTCAGACATAAAGTCTAATAAGTAATTAATATTTTTTCTACTTCCATCAAGTATTTTATAGAATATTACTATCCGATATTGTTCAGGCAAAGCAACGGTATTATTAAAAGTAGCAAAATTTAAAAATCTAAAATAAGGTCAAATATTGTAATTAAAATAATATTGAAACTGTCTTGAATAAAAATAATAAAATTTTTTAAACTTACTGTTTAATCAGCATTGAATTATCAGTGCAACCAAGAGCTTCTATCAATAACTCTTTTTCGTTATGCAAATCAGATTGAATAAATCGACGAAAAACTTTTTTCCAGACTTCTGCATCTCCTGATTGAATACCAACACAGTAAACAAAACTCTTTAAATCTGGTTCAATTCTAAACGAAATGAATTGTATTTTCAACTATTTATATTAACAAGAAGGATGGCTGCTTTTTAAGAAGTTAGCTTACGTATTTGAAGAATTTTTCATCCAACTTTGAAAGACTGATTTCGCAGTTTTCAAACAGTGATCATTTTGAAATTTACAAGCCGCAGATAAAATTAAATTCCTCAAGAGTTTTGAACGTAATTGACCCTCATTAATTCTCTCAAAAGATATGGAAACGTAAGCAGGATTTAAAATACTCTTGACGTAATTCTGAAAAAGTTTTTAAATGAAACATTGTAATATAAATGAAAATACCACTACTAAAGTTTATTGACATAAGCTTAGAGAAACTTTGATTACCTGCAATGAATCCTGAAGAGTAGTGAAGTCTTGGAAAATCCGTTGAAGAAACCCCAATGACTTTAATGCAACATACCATGGTTCATATTCTATTTCCTGAGTAAGATAGTTAACAAGTCGGAAAGCGATCCTGTAATGAATATAACCGCCTCTAGCCAGGTTGAAGGCATCATCTATAAGAGTCGCTCTAGCTATCGGCCTAATTGTATTAAATGCACTGGAACCCAGATGTGATATCAACATGTTCCAGTTTCTGTCATCGTAGTTCACACGATAATACCCTGCTTTGTCAATATCACAGATAATCCATTCCTGAGGATCAATATTAAACTTTATTGTAATATCCTTTTCATGAGGTTTAACCCACGTAGAACCAAACACAGAAACATTAGAATTTCTTTGAGAATCCGACATAAAGTTCAAAGGAATCCACCAACGTTGAGCTTTTGGTTTAGTGGTCCAGTTTGAATGCTGATAGAAACGGCCTTGGGAAATTCGGATCGAAAAATCTGAATAATTCCTCGTAACGGTGATGAGAGGGTAACCGGGTTGGTTTGCGTAAGTTTCAGTTATTTCCCCAATGTCAATACTAAATACTAATTGCTGAACTGTTGTGTAGTTTCGTAAATAAGTATAAAGTATTGAAGGTGTTACAAAACTATAAGATCTGAAATGAATTAATTATAAATATTTTATACTTATCTATCAGAGATAGTCATTCTTGTATCAAAAAAGTTTTAAATATAAAAATTATAAGATGTTTCATATAAAAACTTATTACAAATTGTTTAAATAGCTTTGCAGAGCTGCTTGGAATAATCTTTCTCCCATTATTTGTTCAATCATTCTTATTATAGATGCTCCTGAAATTTTAAACTCAGCTTATAAAACATGAAATAAATTTTTTTAACAAATATACAAAAATACCTTTTTTATAAGTAACAAAATCTGCATATCCTAAAGTGTTTTGGACTTCAGCAGGATTTCTGCCATTCATTGTTCGATTGTGGTCTTGGGCATCATCGTCAAGTGCTTCTTGCACATTTTCTATGATAAATAAATCGATCATCCTCGACTCAGGATGAACAAGAGATCGTCCAAAATATGAAAAATATGTAGCGAAGCCTTCTTTTAACCAGCCAACATTCCAAAACTCTGGAGTTACTAGATTTCCAAACCACGTATGGGCATATTCATGGCCCATAGTGCTTAACCCGTTATGTATTGATTTTGTAGGGGTAATATTTTTATTATAGAGAACAGCAGATTCTCTGAAAGTTATCATGCCCCAATTTTCCATTGCATTAAAATAAAAATTTGTTACTGCGATATGCTCCATTTTTTCAATTGGATTCTCAATATTCAACCAAGCTTTTAGAGCCTTGTATATAAGCCATCCTTCTTGTAATGCAATACAACTTTCTTCTTTCATCGTTTTTCTTGTCCACATTCCTACCATAGTTAAATTTAATAAATAAAAATAGTCAAAGTCGTGAATGGCCCATCCGAATAAATATGTTGACATCTTTGGAGTTGTTTTCATTGACGTAATTACATAATTTTTTCTAAAACTAATTGTGGAAATTTTTTTAGAATTATTAGTCATTATAAAGAATATTTTTAATTTTTGAGTAAGTGAAGTTTTTTTTAAAATGAAATCTTACTTTTGCCTTTATTTACTTGTTTATTCAATAGCTTAGTTGACTGATAATAATACATACGTTTTTGAAACTTGTTCTGGAAGTGTATTAGAGGTAACTTTAAAGTGATCATAGTGTCCGATGTGTAATTTAAATTGAGCTTTTAAGTAAGGTTCATCAAAACAAGGAAAAGCTTGTCGAGCATAACTAGGTGAAAATTGAGTCACTGCCATCCATCTAGGATTAAAAAAATAAGATTCATATCAACACTATATCATTTTTATCCTTCATAATTTTCATTTTTACCTCGTCTCATTTCCCTGTTTACTTTTGCTTCTGTAAAATCCAAATAAATCGTCGCGAATTTTACCCGTGAAATATAAGTATAAAGAATAATTTCCAATATTGAACTCCTTATCTGAAGTAATTTTAAAAAATTGCTTCTCTATATCCAGATCTTGAGTGATAATTTTTATAGCATCGTTGTAGCTGTCATAATTCAATATTTTTGTTCTATTTTTTTGTATTATAAGTCCATCAACATTTAAAATAATTGAGTGTGATTTTGTAGTAATACAAAAATCAATAATTACTTGACCTTTGTAGGTAACGTAGTTTAGAATATCAGGTATCCACAGTTTCAAATCGTAAAACTTTGGGATAATGTTTTTAGGTAGTCGAGCATAAAATCTTTGTTCACTTTGAGAATATGTTACACAGATAGTTATTATCACAAAACACCAATAAAAATTTTTATTCATTTTGATTAAAAGTATTCCACTGGAAAGCTCAAATTAAAACTGAATAATTGACGAATTTATTTTGACTTATAAAACCACTCATATTTTTTTATGTACATAATATTTACTTTTATCATTGCTAGTCTATTACTATATCGTTTTTGATATAATTTATCAATGTTGATATACCAAGAGTAAATTCTATACTTAAGTTATCAATAATCTATCTCTGACGATTACTCTAATTGAAAGTTGAAATTTTATTGTTATCAGAGAAAATTATATGACATTGCAATATACGAGATAGTACATTTCATACCTAGGGAGGAAAAGTAGACTGGCTCAAACCACACGGAGAAAAATGAGGAGTATATTCTGCTTCTAGCGTGGTAGCTTCTACTCCAGAACCTGGTCAATATATGGATGACTATTCTTAGGAGTAAAAGCTACTACTGCTCCGTGGTAACAATAATACTAGTCTGGGAAGTAAACCATACTAGAGTATGGAGTAATTTTTACTCCTTCAGAAGTAGTATATACTCCAAATTTTAACTAATTTTACTTATAGAGCAAGTAGAATTTACTCCAAATTAATTACTTTTTACCGAAGTCCATAATTTTTAAAGAAAAAAATTGTCAAATATCCAATTTTTTTTCAGATGGCATTTTGTTAAAACAATGGAATTTAAATAAAAAGTAAATGGGATTATTTTTAGTTAAGGGGTCATGGACGCGACTTTCGTTGATTTTGACAACATAAAATAATGTTAAAACCAAAAAAAAAGTTTAAAAAAAATTTTTTATTGGTAACAGAAGATTTTTTTTTAATTCTCTGTTTTTTCATATTGAAAATAATTTAAGAGTCTTTAAACTATCCCCATTAGATAAAGTACCCTTTGAAACATAAAGAATAGTGTTTTCCAAATTTAAAAAAAAAAATCATGACACGGTAACCCTCGAAACATGGATGTCAAAAAGCATCCGTTTGGGTGCTAATGGATTAAAACATGCACAATAGAACATGATATTAATTTTGATTGAAACTTTTACTTCACCGAAGTAAAAAATTCACTAATCACCAGTCAGTTGAATGTATGATCTGGTTTTACTCGATATATTTATTGATGAATGTGAAAATCATAAATCGATAATTCCCATAAAAGAAGTATTGATTCAATAGCATATTAGTGAATATGTTTTATTCAATGACAATTTCTATTGTGATTTTTCAATATTGAGAGAAAATCTGTGTACTCAACAAACATTGAATGAATCAATTCATTTATGGTGCAATGGCTTTCTACACTAAATCATCACTCGATGTTGGTTTGTTTTCAGTGCATTGATCTCAAAACTTTAATATTTTTTTAATAACTAACAATAATTATTAAAATTAATTTTAAACTTGTTGTGAATCTCAATATTACAATTTTCTATCTATGTAACATGGACTATTGTAACGAAACACTATAACATTGTTAGTAATTTTAATTGTTTTTTACAATACACTGACATTTTTGATGGCCAAATAAGATTGTCTTCCTCTCTAAAAATGAATCAGTGAATATCTATTGCGAGGCAGTTTATATTTACTGTCTCATTTTTAGAGAGTTGAATATTAATTGATAAAAGTAAATTTTTTTGTAAAATAAATTGCATTACAAATTTCTATTAAAATAGATTAAACATTAAGTTTCCTTTAATGATATCAAACGGTTCGTAAATATTTATTTACTTTCTAATAATTGAATCATAAAATCAACTTACGAAAAAATAATAAACGAACTCAATTATATTTCAGGAATCTACAAAGCCTTGATAAAAAGTATCTAGTAATTTTTTAAATTTTAGAACATTTTTACACAAAGATTCTTTTGTAGGCTTTTTAATGAAAAATATCTTTTAGTAAAATTGTTCCTACACAAGAATTTTGTATCGAAAAATATTTTACCGAAGATTTTCCTCATAGCATATTATGAGATAATATTTTCATTGGAATAAAGTAAACCTAACGATAGGATTAGATGACAGTTATCATATATCATGTTTAAGGGTTAACATATCATATGACGTTTTCTATTTCGTATAGCTCTAACTTACATGTTTAAACGTTAAGATGTCGTCTCTAATACTCTACTCATAGTTAACTCTCTATGAAGTTAAGATTTACTCAAACTAGACAAAAGGGTTTTAGTAGAACAATGTAGACTTTGCTTAAAGATGAATAATTACAATATTTAACGAACCTAGTACCAATTTAATGAGCTGTTTCATTTAATGAGGTTTTTTTTTCATTTATCTGTTGTTTGATTTTTCAAATATTAACTCATTTATTAACTTTGATCATTTGTTTTTATTTTAAAAATGAGCTAATAACTATTAATATACTCTAGATAAACATCAAGATGAGGCACAAAACTCTTCTATGTATCCTTAAAACTCATTGAAAAATAAAGAGAACCCCTTCGAGATTCAGTGTCATTGTGAAAACATGACAGCAAGGCTAGCGAACTGGCAGATACATAATTAACAGACCTTTGCGGTGAGATGACGACTCAGAGGGAAGTTACGAGCTCGATTGGCTTGCATAATGAAGACCTACCTTGTGCACTATTATGTCTCCAATGAACAATGTTGAATTACCCTTATTTCTTAAAATTTCTCTCATGCATTATTTTGAATATTATCGTTAATAAATTTTATATATAAGGATATAAAAGCTATTGTTTGTCGCCAATCTTCTTGATTTTTATATTTATTCATTATCTAGTAGCTACTATACACTTCTATCGAAAAACTCTGTCAATAGCAATATTAGCTTCCGATACTTTTATTGCTAGCTTTTTCATGCTTTTATAAACTAAAAATTTCTGATAGTTTTTATGATATAGATAGATGCGTACAGTTCTTTTTGTAATGTTTATTATTGTGATGTTGTTAGTGGTGGAAATTTCTTGTTCGATGGATCTATTAGGAATGATTTTTTCACAAAGTTTAAGTTTTGTATATTGCGTTATGTTGGAAGTTGGTTTTCATGAAAGGTTTTAAAATTATACTTTCATCGAATAATTCGTTTTTTAGCTTCTAAGATTTCACAATAACTAACATAACCTTTACGAATGGAAGAAAATTATAACGATTTCATCACTTCACAATTGTTATTTATCACAAATTTGACTTTTTTGGAGCTCTTCAGTTCATAGATGATTAAATTTTTAACTCCATGATTTGTATTGCAATGATTTTTTTCATTTAATATTATGCTCAGATGAAAAACAATTGTTGGCAACAGTTTATAGTTGCGCAATTTATATCATTAATTAATCAAAATGAGAAATGTCGTCAATATCAATTCCAAAGAGTATAACTGTGGGTAAGCATAAAAATTAAATAAATCAATGGAATTTGTTTTTTTTTAATGTTCCTTTTATGTTGCAGTAACAAAAATATTATCAAGCTAAGATTTTCATTGAACTATCTCAAAGGTTTTGATAGTATGAGTATTCCATCATCCAGGATGACCGCGAACGTGTCACAGTCAATGTCACGCCGACGGCGATGTAGGACCGATACGTTAATATCCGACCGTCTCCTGTTAGTTGTGCCAAGAAATTTCTGAGTGAAAATGAACCCGTAGGTATTTTTATCTCAGTTTCACTTTACCGCATTTCATGGCTTTATGTGACTTTCTTTCTTTATTTATAAATTATTTTTTTTTGCCTCGTCTTCATCGTTGAACATTTTAATCAAATAACAATTGTTGTATATTGTACAGACTAATTTAGTTTTAGTAGGTAATATCAACATGAAGTCAAAGGCCACATAAATTTGTGACGCATAGACATTATTGTTAGTACGCTACCGATACTCTAGACCAGTGAAGCATCGTCTATTTCAATCAACTACTCTTCCTAGCAAGTAATTGATTTCTAGCCTTTTATGAGCTGTAACATTTTCTCCAGTTTCCTTGCATTACAGAAGCTGATGTGTAAAACCTCCGCCATTAAAACATCTCATCGGATCTATTAAAAATTTAAAAAGTGAATTATCTGAGGACGAAGGATATTGAATAATGTGATAAGAAAAAAATTATCATTTCCGAACGAAATCTTGAAAAAAATTGAGGAAATAGGAAAGGAAAAAAAGTCACCCAGTCAATATATAAGAGGAGAAATCGGAAGTTGTTTAAGAGTCTAATGGTTGACCTACGGCCCTGGTAAACTGACATCTATCCTCTTTGCTAGCCTCCAGCTATGTTCACTAGTGGGAACCAATGATGTTGGAAGCTTCCTATAACTCAATTATTTGATCGTTTGAAAGCCTCAACCTTCCTTGGACATATTCACCAGTCACTCCTGGTCTTATTCGCATGGTAACTATTTTCATCATATTATTTTATTTTTTTCGTTGAAAGTACAGCATCATTTATTTAAACTAAATAATGAAATTGTTTTAAAAAAGGTAATTATCAATAATGAATTTTCGACTTTTTAGTACGTCAACATGTTTGAGTAACAGGTTGTGAAAACAGATTTTAAGAAATAACAAAACGATAATTAGTAAAAAAAGAATGAATTTATAAATAATATTTTCGAATAAAAATTGTTTCCCAATTTATAGTATTTTAGAGATTTTCAGATTAACCATCAACGATAAAAATTCCATTCAATTTTGATAAAGACAACAGTAGTGAAAAAAAGACTCAATATTAAAAAAAAATGAAGTAAACAATTAATATTTGATAAAAAAATTAAACTATTCTGATTCCACTTACAGTTTTTTCTTTATTAAAGTTGTTTAAGGCGCCTCGAGCGGAAATATATAGATATATAAATGAAAGATATATGTATGAAAAGATTCGCGCGATTAAAAGTCTAAAGCGATTTGACAGATTGTTTTTCATATTTCTAACTCTTACTCGTTTACATATGGCCGACCAAAATCTGTCCTTATTTTATCTATTTATTTGCCTAAAACTAGTGCGCAAAGGTCCATATACTTTTATATATCGATATATTTCCGCTCGAGGCGCCTTAAAATTATTTAAACCATTAATCTGCACAGGATCTGTTTTCTTAATATTTAAAAAACATTACTCCAGGTTATGTTTAAGTTGTAATTATTAGTTCAAGCTCATATTCTACTCGATCCAAAATGCTTGGAAAATTTACT